CAAAATATTCGAGCTGCGACATTGTTTGGCTACATGTCCATATTTAAGGCATTTAAAGCATTGGGTTACTCTATGTACATATGGTTCAACACGGCAGACTACAGAGTTAATATAAATTACAGACGGTAGCATATTCCCTTCGAAAGTAACAATGATTGATTGTCTAGGTACAAGAATTGTTTCACCGTTATTTATTATTTTTCTCTTGATTCTGTAAACATCTGTTATGGTGACAGGAGACATAAAGTTGCTAAACAGATATTGTTCATCAAACATAGTATCCACCTCTTTAATAACCCCTTTTCTAGATAATAAATTATTAGGAATGTATGCTTTTAAATTTTCTTTTAAAAGATCCTGATTGGTGACTAATTTGTTAGCATCATAAATGCTTCTAAGTTGAACTCGAATTCTATTTCTACCAACTGTATCAATTTTTAGAATATTTTTAATATTTAATTTTCGATGCAAAATGTGACCTACGGCCATGGGATGTAGTTTCCCAATATTTTGGTCGTTGACCTTTTCAATAAACACGTATATTATTTCTGAATAAAGATTGGGTTTTTGTAAATTGAACACCTTACTTTTTTGCTGGACACTATCGCTTACTACTTTTTCACTTTCTGCCTTATCATGTTCTTGGCTGATGGAACTGGAATTTTCTGTGTGAAGGTTTGGATTTTGTAAAGGGTCTGTAATATTGTTCGTCCCCCCTCCCTCGGGGGGAGGATCACTTTCCATCTTCGCCCAGTCACTTGCACTTTTTAACTCGTAGGCAAGTACACAAACTTATTAATAACTATGGATAGTCACAATTATTTCTATTACACTGCACTGTCTATCCGATAAGTAAATTAACGTCTTTACTATACGGAAGCTACCGGTGGAATGCCTGTAGTAACTTCGGTAATGAATCTTTGAAAGGTAATGCCAGCGTTTCGCAATCCAAAAGGCATTCTGAGAAATTCAAAATATCCAAAAAGAGTGGTGATTGCTGTTTTAAAAATATCTTCTTCAGCCATCGGAATCTGGTGATAGGCCCTAACCAAATAGATTTTTGAGAAAATTTTACAACCATGACATTTAACATTAACGTCAGAAATTAAACTTAAAGGAAATCTGTCAGGTACTGTTACTTTATTTAAAAATCTGTAATCTCCACAAGGTCTCCAATCTTTTGTGTCTTTTTTTTACCATGTGTAAAGCAGAAGTGACATAAGAAGATGAAGGTCGGCAAATGCCTAATTCAATCATTTGATCGAATTCTTGTTTAGCAATTTGATATTTTTTAGGATCTAAACGTCTAGGTTTACAAAAAGGTAAGTTTCCTTCTGTTATAATATGATGTTTAACGTTGTTTTGCAGATAAATTAAAATTTGGAGATGAAAAAAATTCCAGGATATTTTTTAAAAAGTTCCGTATATTTAGTCTCAACATTAAATAGTTTAGGTGAATTGTCTTTAATTTTAAAATTATAAATTTTTCCAATAGAATCTAATGAAGTTTCACTATCGCGTATTTTAGAATTTTTGAAATCCAAAATTAGTCCAAAATGAGTTAAGAAATCTGCACCTAAAATTGGTTTAGTTACATTTGCAATGGTGAAAAGAAAAGGAAACACTCTTCGCAATCCAATATCGATATTAAGAAATTTTTCTCCATAAGTAGATATTGTATTGCCAGAAGCTGAAGTGAGAATAAACTCTTTATCTACTATTCCTTTGAAAATTTTGTTTGGAACCACGCTAATATCAGCTCCTGAGTCAACCAAGAATTCTAAATTATTTAATTTATCAAAAAGAAATATTCTTTTAGAAGATTTTCCACCTATACTACTTTACTAGTTTTTTGGAATAGAATTTTTGAAAGTTTCGTACATTAAGCAAGAAGGTCCTGCACATTTATATGCGTTCTTCTTATATTTACTGTGATAAAAACATAATAGATCGTTCGATTCATTTTCCTTATTGAATTTACGAAAATATCTATTTCTGCTTCTAGATCTTGAAGAAGATCTACAGTAGCATTTTTGATTGGAATCATCACGTGATGTGTGAGAGGATCCCTTATTTTCCAATATCATAATCTTTTTTTCTAATTGATTTTGTTTATTAATTAAATCACCCATCATTAATTTAAAATTTTTATTTAAATCATTTATTGATTTGGAAAGATTTAGAATTTCGGTATTTTTATTAATAGAAAAAACTTTGTCTTTGTTACCAGTATAATTAGAAAAATTAGAGGAAGGGGACGATTCCCAAATTTTATCGGCAATATCTAATAACTCTTTAGTAGAAGATTTTCCAGATACAGTTCAGAAATATCTATAAATTTTGGGAGTCCTCTTCTCCATATTTTTAATAATAAATTTTCATGAATTATAGAATCACATGAAAATCTAATTAATTCTCTATAAAAATCTGAAGGTTTTTTATCGCCCATTTTAGCTCTGGATAGTAATTTATCTAACCGTTGTTCCTCAGAGAGAGAAAGTCTATTTATAACTCATTCTTTTAAGGTAGAAAAAGCATTATTCTCTAGGGGATCAGAGATTATATCGTAAATCTTAGCAAGAATTTCAGCTGGTAAATGTGCGATCGCCAAATGAAATTTACTTTTCTCAGAATGGATTTTATGGATATAAAATTGACTCTCTATGTACTTGAACCATAGATCTGGTTGATGCGCCCAAAAATCTGGCAGTTTAACTTTAGAAATGTCTTCCATAAAAATATTATTATCAACTGAGGTTTGAGGCTCCTCAACTGGCAATGTCAGACTGTCTGTAGGCATTATATATGATCAAAAATCGATAAAAGATACCAACAAAAACACCCCACTTACCCGAAAAAAAGGTTATTAACCATAAATGGATATTCAATTGCTTTCTTGGGTGGGATCTTCAAAATGTCGTTCTTGTCGGGTGTAGGAATCTTCTGTCGGGTGTGGAATCTTCTGTCGGGTGTGGAATCTTCTGTCGGGTGTGAAATCTTCTATCGGGTGTGGAATCTTCTGTCGGGTGTGAAATCTTCTGTCGGGTGTGGAATCTTCTGTCGGGGTCACCAATTGTAGGTAGCAATATTAATACGCAGGAGATCAGGATCTGAGTAAATAGTTTATTTTTAAATATAAAAAAGCGTTATATAAAAATGTTATGACAAAAGTACGTCTTCTTAATTTCGAATTAGTAATCATCAATAATTTTGTTTCCTTTTCCTTGGTTACCATCCATCGGATAAGTACGGTGCTAGTATACGCAGCTATCGACCAAGATCATAATATATGTGATGTTATTATAATGGTACCATCTGACATTGACACTTGACCAACCTCAAATAAAAACTGACTAAGAAACCTTAAAATAAATTGACGTAAAAGTCAAAACTAAAGGTAAGACTATGTGGTGCACATACTAAAAGAAAATCAAAGTATGTGATGTAGTGCTATGATGTCGCCACAGATACTTAGAGCTAAGAAAGTAGTTCATGATATTATATCGAAATATGTTGTTTGTAGGAAGCAAGATGTTAAATCGGTCTAAACGCCATTTGCACCATTACCGGAAAACCGAATTAAGAATGCAGGTGTTTTTGAAGTGGTTGGAATAGATTTAGCAGATTCTTTGTATTTGAAAGATAGTAGTTAAGTTTGGATTGTACTGTTTACTTGTGCGATTTATAGAGCGATTCATTTAGAACTAGCGAAATCTTTATCAAGAGAAGCGTTTTTATATGCCTTAAGACGATTTATAAGTAGAAAGGGAAGACCACAAATAATTTATTCAGATAACGGTACTAATTTTCATGGGACTGATAATTATTTTGCTAAATTAAATTGGGATGAAATTGAAATATTTTCAGGAATTAAAAGAATAAAATGGCTTTTTAATCCATAATCCGCTGCTTGGTGGGGCGGGTGGTGGGAGAGGTTAATAAGATTAATAAAAGAACTTTTGCGTCGTAACTTGGGTAAAGCATCTTTGTATTATGTAGAGCTTTATACCATTCTTACATGTGATATTGAATCGGTCATAAATCAAAGACCGCTAACATACGTATCAGAGGATGATTGGGAAATTTTAAGTCCGTCCAAATTTATAAAACCACTACAGGGTGCGTCGACTGAAGTTGTTGATTTAGACCTTATTGATACACAAAATTTAAGGGGTAGATTTTGTTATATGCAAAGGTTAAAAGAATCTCTAAGAAAATGATTTAAAAGCAAATACCTCGCAGAACTGGTGAACGTTGGTCAAAGGTTAACTTAGTCTCTGAAGGTCGATGACGTAGTATTGGTCGGGAATATAGTACATCTTTTTTTCTGTGTAGTAAAATTTAATAAAAATATATAAAAAATGATCTACTTACTTGCTTGGATGCTACTTAATATTTAGTTTACCGATAAATAAGAAATACACGTAATCCGCAGTAAAATAAAAATGTTGTTTACAATAGCGGGCACATAACACCTGTTCATTTCCATGATGCGAACAATACTAAAGCAAAATATTAAAAAAACTTTATGACTACTATGTTTTTAGCTTGAACGTATATTGTTACAAATATGATACGTTTTCTAGTTCTCGAAACTGCTAATAGATTGCTGTAGTACGAATAAATAAGAGGTGTTTCAAATATGATACTATTCAAGGGTTAAGAGCAAATTTTAAAAAGTAAATAACAAGATATTAAGAGCTCAAATTTCGGAACTATATTAAAAATAGCGCTGTTGAGGAATGCATTTATTTTCATTGATATTTCAAAATTTTATTTTTTTTTCTCGGAAACTGAAAGAATTTAAAACTTTAAAATATATGCATATTTAGATAATATTACCTTTTTTATTTTCATAAAATTTTAAATTTTTAACAAAATTACTTTTTGAAATATCCTTGTTCGAAAATTATAAGGGGTGCTGTATTCATCTTAAATGATCACAGGCACAAGAAAATTAGATCTGATTACCCTCAAGAAACAAAACAAAAATAACTCACTTTTGGATATTTCCTATTTCCACCACCGGAATTTAAATCACTTCTATCTCTGTTCGTCACTGTTTATCACACGTCAGTCAACCAGTCGCACGCGTTCGCCGGCACACTAGTTAATTAGTTCCCAAGTAATTACGCCGAGGAACAATTGAAGATCGTCTCGCGGTTCAGTTCTTCTAAAAGCGACTTCGAGCGAACTATAATAGAGAAACTGGAATTCTGTCCCAGCGTGTTGTCGTTCACAGCCATCTCCTGCAAAAAGTAAAAGTTTTTTTTAAGCATAGTTGTTTTGTATTAAGTAATAATAATTATTGTTAGTTACAATAATAACAATTAGTAATGTGTCAAGTCAGTCAAGCGCTTATTTAAGAAGTTATTTTAAATCCAGAAATCCCAATATTTTGAATAATGTAGTCATATGAAATTTAATAAATAAAATGCTAAACATTGTCATTAGTAACAAATTGTGGATGGCTGGGTTAGGTTAGGTTGAAAATGGGTATATTTCCACTGCGACACAAAAGGATATACTGTGCTGTGGCTCATGCCTAAGTTATAGTTCACCTTCTAAACCACACTTTCTGGTGATGGATGAAGACAATGGTTGAGTTAGATGATTCGTCTTTAAAGTATGTAGGTTCCAGTCGGACAAATCCAAACATCTAATTATTATTTTTAAAGTGTAAAAGATGCATAGCATGACTTGCTCTGCAGATTCTTCTTTCATACTGCAGTGTTCTGTAATGCCCATTTCCTAGATCGTTTTTGGTCATTTCGTTTTTAAAAGGGTTGGGTTATTAATTTGTTGAAGGGAGGCATTGATATCACTATATATTGTAAAATTTTAAGAGTAATGTTATTATGATTTATGTTTATTTTGTATAAATTTTTACCTCTGCATGGTTATATTATGTCTTCAAGTAATCGTTAAAATAATATTAAGTGAGGTAATAATTGTTTGCTTAGTATCTGAAAAGTTGTCTGTTATAAAATAACAGTGTACCTACTAACTAGAAAAGAATACTTTTTTGAGGAATATGATTGTAAGCTCAATATCCAATATTGCGGAACATCAACACACAATTATTGTTGAAACACTACATTATAAGGACGATACTCTTTAAGTTTTTCGTAGATCTAATATACCTATCTAATTTAGTAACTTAATCCACACAAAGCTACAATAAACACAAATTATGTTTCGATTGTTACTTTGATCAAATTGTCTCAACGAAAATTTTAAATTTTTGTTTATTAAATCAAAAAGATAATTGCTCACATCTCACATAGGAATGGCTAACGATAAAAATAGTTTATTAGTTTTTAACAATTCATGCAAAGAGGAAAGCCATACCATTGCCTTGCTAAAAATAAACTATTTTCAATAAACCACACTGTTCAAGTTACGGACAATTTATAAGGTAAAATGTAGTAGCATATTGCAAATATTGGCCTTTCCATCTTAAAATAACTGATGACATTGGCCTTCGTTGAACTCGCCGACAAATACATCAGAGCTTTTCATAAACTATTCTATTTGTAGCTTACCAGTAGTTTTGAATTTTCAAATTTTTAAGTGCGTAGGTGAAATCATATAAAGCCAACAAACAAGAAAGAAATTTGCACACATTATGAATCAAGGGCTATAATTAATTCCAAAGGATATTTTATACTAAAAAATCTTAAAATACACCGATTTAAAAATAGATAAGAACATACATATCAATAGATCAATCGTTTTATATAATATTTGACACAAAAAAATGCAATCATCACCAGAGTTTCTAATATCTAAACCAGCCATACTCAACTTTTTTTTCCTTCGGGCCACATTTGTATATGTGCTATGTTACACGGGCCGCCATATTTTTGGATGATGACCTTTTTTGGGACATCTATCTAAAATTAGTTAGTGGGGACCTCTAATAAATAAAGCAAAAAACAAATATATCCCATTGTGTTACTGCAAAAACAAGATAACTCACATTTTTAGAGTTTCGAAAAAACACTATTCAAACGTTTAAAACTGAATAAAAAATAAGTAAAAGCTTCAAACCGTTTATTAACTTCAATAAAGAAGGCATTGAAAGCATTGTTCACAAAGTATAAACTAATAATCTATCAATAATTGGTAAAAAAATAGAAACAACGTCACTTAGCTTATTTTAGCTCTACATGCAAATCATAATTCAATGTATGTGTCACTATCTTCAGTAACATTATTGGATACAGGTAGATTGTGATAATAATGGTGAAATTCATCAGGTGTATCTGATTTTGCAAAATGTTAGTAAATCTTTCTTCTTGCACTTCTTTGTAATTATTTTCGAAAACTTTGTTTCATCCTTTCATGCATCCCTCTGAATAAATACTGTGCGAATTTGGCATATAAAGCCGAATTCCCCACCCTCGCCCATTGATAAATTAAATCTATTTTTCTGGTGGAATGTATTTAGGATTGCTGAATCTTTCGATACGTTATCTATTAGAAAGTAGGGTTAAAATTCATATTCGCCTGTTACCACTAATACTTTTATTTACGAATTTTACATAAAGTTTCGTTCGTTACGGCTTGACGAATCACTCGTTACAGCTTGACCAATCACCCGTTACATCTTGACCAATCACTCATTCACCACGGAGATTCGAACATCATGTGTTATTATCTAGTGGTTGTTTAAAGGTAGCTGTATCGCAGAAAGAAAGGGTGACGTAATCATCTCGTGGATTTCTTAACAATCGAGAAAGTCCAGAGACGGCTCTAGTCATAACAAAACAAATGGCGTGGGCACAATGTTGTAATATTTCAACAACACACATTCAACAAAAATAAGTAGCGTCAAATCAGTCCCGAAATACTGGTACTTTTTCACTGGAAATTACTAAACATTTTCTCGAAAATTCCAAAAATCATCATCTAAAATCATGGTCGAAATCAATTCGTCAATCACAATCCGAAATGGCGAGAAAAAAAGAACATCGTATAAAATTAAGGTGGATTTTCAGTAAAATCACCTAAATTACATAAAAGTGTTTTAAGTGATTTCCGAAATACAGATACGTTTTGACCTTATTGGTTTCCCCTCGTTTCTGGCCTTTATCTTGTTTTGACAGGAACACTATTAAGAATCGGACTAAATATATTTAGCAAAATAAGTTATATGCCTATTATCTGATTTTGGTAGACACATTTATCAATTAAACACAATGTTATGATTATGTTTTGGTATAAATGCCACTCCCATCTTATTTGTCCATATTGTTAATATATTAAAATAGAGTTAGTTTTTATTGGCTATCCGTTTATCATGAATATAGACTTCTTTCACACTTGTAGAAAGTGTACCTACTTAACTCGAAAATTCCAAAAGTGAAGCTATCTTGTTTTTGCAGTAACCCCACAAAATTCCAAATGTTTATTTAAAAATTAGCATGCTATTTAGCGCTGCGACCAATAATAGTGTTGCGGGCCACAAAAAAAGCTTGGAGGGCCACATGCGGCCCGCGGGCCGCAGGTTGAGTATGGCTGATCTAAACGAACTCCTGTGAAAGCTAGAACACTTGGGCACAATAAGAGGTAAATTTAAAATATGTATTGTATATCTTATTGAGTAAAGGGGCAGAAGTTGGAAAGGCCTTTGGTAGGTAGAGAGGGAGTAAACGTCATCCTACGTCGGATGGCTTTGAGAATTTCGCAGTAATGTTTACCTACCAGTGTCATTTCACAGAATAGGTCATTTTAAATTGTTACCGGCGGAACCGGACAATCGCAAGTTTTTATGGACTATAAATAATTATTAAACATGTATTATAATATCCAAATCATAATTCTACAAAATTTCAACAACTATTCACAGTTTATTAAACTATTTACTCGAAATTGTTATTAACATCTATAAAATAATTTCGTACGCCAATGTATCGCGTCCACTTCGTTTAGATCCACCGCAATCCTGTAAATTTGTGAATAAAGTGGGAGAACTGGCAATAGTATATTACACACCGAGGTGGGAAGAGTTTCATTCCTGTCGTGAGATTAGTTAGATCACCGAGACGCGAAGCGTCGAGGTTAGCTATGATCTCGGGACAGGAATGAAACTTCCTACTGAGGTTTGTATACTATTTTATTTACAACCATCATATTTCGATTAAAGTTAATAAATCTCTGTTTCGTTCTGAACGTACCTAAAATATTACATTTAACGACAAATTACCAAGCGCGCGATTTCCTCAGAATAATCAAGTCAATATATTGTTACTGTGATTACGGGGTAAACAACTGTCACCAATATAAATAAATGTCAGATAAAGCCGGATATTAAATTCGCAAATAATAAATATATATTATAAAATTTGTCAAACAAATGTGTTATTTTTGTTAAATATAAAAAATATTCATCTAGAATAGAAGAAATGAGGGCGAGAAGTGAGGGCGGGAAGTGAGGGCGGGAAGTAGAGGTGTGTAATGTGACACTTCCCAACCTTCAATGACGTTAGTAATGACAACATTACATATATGGTTGTAAATAAAATCCTTTCCAACTTCTGCCCCCGCTATATGAACCTACAATACCCTTCCATGGGTCTTACATAATATATTATAGATGGCGAATATAGTCATTTGAGTTTCAGAATCTTAGTCGACCAGGGGTTAAACTCCTATGCGCAAGACTGAACTAGCAATAAAATCAACCACCTCCACTGCTCTTCTGCGCTGCAGTCGTATGGTGGGGTCGATGGCGGGAGTGTAATGACAGATGACAGGTGAATATTGATTTTTTCTATACCCACATGGATATTACCTTATCTACGCACAGAATACAAAACGAAAAAGTATCCTATTGCCTTCAACTGAACAAATATATTTCATATTCATTCTAGGTAGTGAGAACACTACAAAAAAATGAAATCCCCAATCACCGTTCATATTTTGATCAATCGACGGGTATTATTTTTAAAATTTTAAATAAGTGACAATTCTGTCAAACTAATTGTCAGTAATTTTTTTAGTTATTGAGATTAAATATACATTAAAATTCTTGTGTAGAATCAATAAATAATAGCATTTCTTTTTTTATTTTGTCTATAATTATAAAAAATTTGTTAATTTAAATAAAACTACATGAAGTCAATTTAATTACGAGTATTATAGCAACAATAATAAAAGAGTGGTGATCTTGTCGTGTTGGCGTTCTTGCCTTCCACGCAGAGGATTTATTTCGATTCTCGGATGGGGAAAATTAAAATTAACT